TATCTCTATCTCTTCGACTATTTCTTCAGGAAGCCCATCTGCAAACAACACCATAAAATAGGTAATTAAAGTTTGTTTATATCTAAATTTAGGTAGGAGGTTAGAACTGATATATATCCACCTAACAAAGTATTAAGTTTATAACTGTTGGAGAATAAAAATTTATTCAGAAACCTCACCCAACAGCTTAAGCTTTTTAGCTGAACAGTTCTTAAGATGGTATCCGAGTCTTATTAGAATCCATTTGATCAAATGGTTTAGTGTTTGATCTTCATCGTCCCATTATAATTAATTAAATTTCAGCATAAGGTATAGGTTGCTTGTCCCTGCTTTATGCCCAATGAGCTTTCGCATGAGAGAGAGTGTTAGAGAATAAAAACCCAATCAATAACCTTGCCTAACAAGTAAAGCTTTTAAGCTGAATGGTTTCTTGAAAAAACAAAAAAACAGATCAAATTGCTTCATGATGACTTTAGTAAAGGAGTGAAGTGGATCTCATGCACCCTTTAGGACTTCATTAATAGGTTTTTTTCAGAAAATACTTTGCATTCTAAAGACCAAGTCACTATATGCTATCTACTGTAACTAATTCCAAGATTATGGAATCTTCTTCAGTGAAGATCTTTCTTGAGATCAAGAAAATGAAATAAGGATGGATTAGAGCAACTTATTGAGCATTAGCTTAGCCAATTTTCTATTTAATTTATTTTTTAGGTAAATTACAGATATCTTTGGGGGTAGTGATACTTTTTATCCTCCAAAAGATATGAGATCAAATTTGTACCCTATGGAGAGCGCCCCACATGCACATTTCAGCGTGCATTGAGAACATCTCCCAAAATTGTCAGTGGAAATGCTGTGAAAGGTTTATGGGGCACACTGTATGAGGCGCAGATGTGAGTTCAAAAGATGTAGTATAGCTCGGGTTGTGTCGAGAACTTGCTTACTTCACAGAATTAGGGGGTTTACTAGTAAGATGTTAAGATACATGTTTGTATGGATATTTCCTCATGTGACCGATGAAATTATCTCACATCAAACAGTTGTCAGGACATATTAAGATTAAAACCTAACCCTGAACAAAAAAAAGGTAGCATTCTCCATCAATTTATTATCAGTTTAGACAATACAACAAGGTGAGATTGAACTTGGATTAATATTGATGGATTTAGGTAAGGCCCAATTGCCCATTCAAATTTTTAGTAAATGCTCAACCCTGACCCGCCCAAATTGCAATCTTAGGTTTAGGCTTATGTTTTCTTCTTAATCTAAGAAAATTAACGTGCACCACCATTTGTGTATAAATATAGGTTTCTCTTTTTTTCTCTTCCTTTCCTTACGTTTTCTTTCAAAGTGAACAAAGCTTTAGGGTATCTACCCCTATCCATAATAGGGGTCAAAAGGATATGATAAAGGAGAGGTGACTAAATAGAAGTGTAAAAGTGGAGAAAATTTAAACTTAGCATTCATGAATGAATACCTTGCTTTGGAATATAAGCCTTTGACAAAAGCTTTAATGCTTCTTTTGTTGCATTAAATGATGATGAAGATGGTGCTACAAAAAAACATTAGAAGATTAAGATCAATATTTTGCTTAAAGAAAGAAAAAAAGATTAAGATCAATATATGCATACACGAAATAAATGGAGCATATATATATAAATTTTGTTGTTGATTTATAGTGTTCGGGCTAATAATGCAATAAGCAAGGTTGTAAAAATGAACATGGAAATGAAACCACTTTGGCCATTAGTTTTTGGATCAGATAGTTTGACCACTTAATCGAAGAGTTCACATCTGTGCCCCACATAAGATGTCCCACAAATGTCCCACAGTGCATTCCAACCTTGTATTGGGAACATCTCCCGTTACATCCCAACTGTGTATTGGGAACATCTCCCGTTACATCCCAACTGTGTATTGGGAACATCTCCCAATGATAAGTACGGGGAATGTTTTCAGTATATACTGAGATGTGCATGTGGGACGCCCTCTGTGAGAAAATCCGATCACTGGCTGGATGGCTGGCTTGAAAGTTTTAATATTTCTACTGCCTGAATGGCTGAATCAATGGTTCATTTACTAATTCAACAAAACCGAATAGTTAGGTCATTAGAAACCAGGTCAATGATGTACAGTTTTAAAATTAAACCATGGCAACAAGTATCCATGACACCCATGTATATATCTGTATAAAATACCATGGTTTTCAAAACCGGATTGGACTGGACGGTCGGACTGGAAAAACCGGGAACCGGTCAGGTGAGTTCCATTTTTCCCCAAAATCGATTTTTTTTCAAAAATATTGATTTGATCAATAAACTGCTGACTTGGGTGGTTGAACCATTCAAACCGTTCAATAATTTAGACCATTTTTTAATTTTTTTTTACTTTTATCAGAATGGGCCGATCATTTGGTTCGAACAGTCAAACCGTTCAACCTGGGAACCAGACCCCTGACCGGTTCATTGTCCGGAGCGGTTTTAAAATCCTTGCAAAATACCCTCTTTTGGCACTTTAATTTGTTTTTATAGATCATAATAATCTGTACACAACTAATGTTGCACCATGGGTTGGCAAATAATGTTACGCTAGAAAAACAAAAGGAAAAGCTTCATACAAGTCAATTTCAATTCATGTTGTTATATGATAAAAATACCATAGTCAATTTTAATCCGTTTTATTAGTTCTAATCAATATATTATTGTAATCCAAATTCAATTCAAATCTGATATGAATCAGAAGGATAAGATTTGAATTGGATCTGAGTATAAAGAAATCAAATTTGGGATGTGACAGTCGTCATAGTTGAAGGGGTTAGAAGAACTAGGGCACATAAAAAAATGATATAGACTGTAAGGAATTATTCAAGGCACATAATTTAACAATGGATACGACACTCATCATCAAAATGGAATGGTGTAACAGGAATCATGAATCACATCCTAAATCGTTGTTGGGACAAATGCATATCGTATAATATGATTCATATACATAGATAGATATGACATGGCAAAAAAATGGTATACAAAGTAATGAAGTTAATTGATCACCTATATCAAGATCAAAGTCGATGTTGCTGCCAACACAACCCATGGTGCATTCAAGAGCGCAAGTGGTCCACCTGATGTAGTTCTGGTTGTACACCTTATAGTCTATGTTGCAACCTCCATAGCAGTCTGACAAGCAATGTTTTTCCTCCAAACTATCTAGCATTGCCACAATTACCATGCACAGCATCATGGACACCAAAACTCTTGTTGATACATCCATCTCTCTCCCCTCCTCTCTCTCTATCTCTCTCCCTTTCTTTTTGTCTCTCACAAAGAGAGAGCGAGAAGCATGTACTTATATTACCGTATAGAATGCTATTTTGGGTCTATTTCTAAAATAAGACCGATTTTGTCAATTAAGCCTCATTTTTTTAAGGAACTAGGGGGTTCTAGTGCAAAAAGATGTTAGGGTTTATTGAACTTAGAATTTATTGCCTTATAACCTTCTCTTGAAATTGGATATACATGCATGATTCGTTTCATATCTAAAGTTACTATTTCATCTCCCTAGTAATTTAGTAGGTATTTGGCATCGATGTTGCTGCTTCAGAGATGTTTTCTAAAAAAACAGTGTTGTATGCATGAGGATCTGTTGCACCATTTTCTCAGAAAACAGCTCCTTTTTTTTTTTGTTTGGCATCAATGTGCCACATAGGCTGTGATTTTGTTTGGTACCAGTGCTGTATAACCGCTTTTTCAGCATTGGTCTATATTATCCAATGTTCCAGATGAAGCCACATCATTGCACCGCTGGCAACAACAGGATGTTTTCTAAGAAAACATTGAATTTGGTGCTTCTTTAAACCACACTTTCCTGTTTTCTGAAATACCATTTTTTTTGATATAGCACCGATGTAGTGCAACTTTCTCAAAAAACATCATCGATGCCAAACACCACCTTAATAACCAATATTGACTAATGGCATGTAGATCTATTCATAGGCCAGGCTCGGGCTTGGTTTTTGTGCAGATTCTAATGGGCCCAGCCCAAAGCCCGAACCCGAAACAATATAAAATTGAGCCCAAAGTCTGACCCATGAACAGGTCTAATGGCATGTATACTTGTGATTGGATTGGCCCATCTTATTTGTGTATATCCAAAGTCTGTAATTAAACATATTTTCCAATGTCAATTGGCATCATCTTTTCTACTTTATGTTATTATCTCCTAAAAATTCAGTCAATGAAGAAGGTAGCTATATGCCCACATAGCTATATATTATCTCCTAAAAATTCAATCAATAGAGTTATATGCCCACATACCAATTAACTACTTTATTTTATGTGGTTTTAACAAGATAAGAAAATTTTCTCGGTCCACAGCCCATACTGTTCACCGAGATCTTCCTGCGTGACAAGTTACTGTATGACAGTAATCCTAGAGGATTAAGGGTGGCTTTACTTTCCGTTATGTTTATAATATTATTTTATTATTGAAATGAATCTTTTTTTTGGAAATATCTTAAAGGGCATTCTCAATAAAGTTAGAGAGGCTTCATTAGATGGTTTCCTATACTTTCAATTAATCATTAACAACCATGGTCCGATCCGGTCAGACCGTTTGGCCATGACCCAATCCTTTACAGTTATGAACAGACCGGTTTTCTGCTGCTTTAGAAATTAGAATCAAAGAACTCATGTGAACACCCAAACAACGGATTCTTCTTAAATTATGGAAGGTGGATCCTAATTCAGAGGAAACACTTAGATTTTGTGGTTTACGGGATCAAAGTTCAAAGGGCGTTTAACCAACAAAATAGCTACAAAGGAAACACTCTTCTTCTTTGCATGCTTCCAACTGCAACAGGTAATCAATCTCTTTCTACCCATCTTCCTTCTATTATATTGTTCTGTGAGCTCCTTATTCTTTTTCATTTATTCCAGAAAATCCTTGAACTCCACTGCTGAGTTTCTCAAGGAATCTGTCTGTACCACTTAGTCCTCAATATGTCTGGAGAAGAGGATGAGAATGCTGCCGAACTGAAAATTGGAGATGGTATGATAGTAACTTCTTCATTGTGCTTGTGTTTTTGACATTGTTTTCCAGTCGAAAACTTCTTAACTAATATATTCCTGCGGTTTTATGCAAATATTTTAAGTTTTGATGGCTCTGTATGAGTTCTCCATAGCATTCCAAGTTCAAGAACTCGCTTGAGCTCTGTCTTTGAAAAAAATAGTTCATATTCAAGCCTCTCTTTGCACCCTTTCGATGCGAAATAGACAACCTTAAGCTTATATTCCCGTTTCTTTTTTCCTCCTTTTTCTGGGGGTGGGTGGTGAGGAGGTGGGAGTGAGAGGAAATTAAACATAAAAGAAATTCCCAGTAACAGCATACCTGCATACGAGCTTGTTAATCAAAGGAAGAATTCATAAATCGGAAGTTTGATGTCTTGCACATGCTTAAAAACCTCCATTTTCTCTCTAGTCTAATCTGGGGTTAAACAAATCACCAAGGGATGTTTTGGAGCTTGGCACTAAAGATTACAGACTCATCAAGGTTGTTGTCAGCACATATCTGCTGCAGGGGAAATGTTGGAAGTGGAAGAGGAGGTTGAGGATAGGGATTTTAGAGTTCAATATTTAATAAAGTTACCGTTACTAAACCAACGGATGCCTATGACAATGATCCTGAATATAGAGAAATCGGGATGATGTTTAGAATGCTTTCAGGTTTGGGGAAAAGGAAAAGTAAATGGGTTTGAGCTCCCTTATGGAACATCTGCAGGACAAAAAAGATACAAACTAATCCAGCAAAGATGTACCTCAGAGAAACTAATTATTTGCAACTTTTCCTCCTCTGGCAAGACTGTCAACTATAGATGCTTGTGGTGGATGGGCAGATACAGATAGACCTTCAGAAATCCATTTTTCATAATGCTCATATATGGTTTACTTAACATACTGCTCAAAATGGTTTGGTTTAGAACATCAATTAATGACGCACCCTTTCTATCCAATCCCTGTTTTTCTTTCTTTGTTCAGTAATGGATCAAATCCCTGGGGTTATTAATCTTTGGAACTTTCTGTTACATCTCTTTCATTGGTGATAGCCCAAAAATGCTAATTTGGAAACATGCAATGTTACTGCAACTAATAGAACACGGTTCCTTCTTCAGACAATCGCATCCATACACAATACAAATCTCATAATGCAATGTTTACAATAAGTGCTACTCATTTAGTTACCATCATGAAACAAATTCTCTATAGTCATAGCATGGCCCTTTTCAAATATTTAATGTCCATGGACATAGAAAAATTTACATCTTCCTGAAAGGATACTTGGGTTAGTTAATTAAAAGACATTGCTGTGAGGTTTTCCAGAATTTTTAACATTGAGGAATGTGCTCCTTTCAGAATTTTTGAAGGCAAAGTGCTTAATGAATTGCGAAGTTTCTCTAATTCTTGATCGGAGATATGAGCAGCTTCAGCAGATGTCTGATGATCCTACCAATCAAGTTTCTCAGTGAGTATTAAACCATTTTCCCCTAAAATAATCTAGAAAGTTAGAAATGTTCTCCAATTTTCAGTCCATTTTCACCTTTTTACACTTTTGGAATGTCATAATACTGATCTTCTTATCCAGAGTTTTTGAAAAGTCACTGCAGTATGTGAAACGATTTAGCCGCTATAAAAATCCTGATGCAGTTCGGCAGGTCCGAGAGTATCCTTCAATACATTAGAGATAAGTAATAGAAATAACACATTAATAGATAGGAATTAAACAGAACTGACTTGCGAAACAGGATTCATGTAGCATATGGTTGGGATAAGGCTTGGATGATGACTGATAATAGAAAAATCAGTTTCCTCTCTGCAGAAAACTTGCCACAGTAGAATCACTTCTGGGAGTTATGGAACTGCTTTAAACTGAAATTTTAAGGAATTTCATGAGGTTTACACAACCTTGCCAGTCTTCCTGGTCTAACAAGAACTTTTGGATGGTCTAATATGGTTGTGAATATCCTACACAAATTTTGTATGACAATTGGAAAAGTATCCTGATAAGAATGCCACTACAAAGCTTACAGTTTACAGTGTTCAGACAAATATTGTGATTGTGATTGTGGTGTGACAGATAGAACTATGTTATTACTTATTACCATGATTTCATCATTTCCATCACGTCTTATGTTTTAAGTAGTATTTGAGAACAAGTATTGAAATTGATTCATTCCTAACATGACAGGATTCTGTTTGTTATCCTGTGAAGCTGAGATTGATTATGATTGCTTGGCTATTTTACCCTTTTCTTTTTATCTCCATTCAAGCAATTCTATTCTTTAATTGGCCCTCAGAATTCTTAGCAGACACAAGTTAGCTGAGTTTGAGGTAATGCAACAATTTATTTACTAAAAAAATCCAGAATCCTTGTTCTTTAATAAAATCCACTTAGTTTATTCATATTCCTTTTTTTTTCTTTTCTTGCAGCTTTGTGTACTTGGTAATCTTTGCCCTGAAACTGTAGAGGAAGCTTTAGCTATGGTTCCATCTATTAAGGTAACATGCTTCACTCATTCATCACTTTTCTCTATGCTAGATATTCTTGTGAGATTTACTAGTTTTTACTAGTGGTTTTACAGAAAAAGGATCATTAAATATATATATATATATATATATATATATATATGCATGCTTTTATATATATTTTTATATGAACTAGATAGATGCATATGTCAAAATGTAATCTTACAATATGAATATGCTGTCCATAGAATCCAAGGGTCATTGGAAGGTTCCATCACCCTAAGACAATGAGTGGTTTTTCTAAGATGATGGGCTTCAGCTTCTTGGTTAGACCAGTGAATATTTGAGAAAAATGGGTGTGGATTTGATATAAAATAAAGCCCTCTAACCTGAAATAATTTTCAATTGGATTGCTTCATATTAGCAACATCAAAGACATATGGCACAAATTTTACAACTTGCATCAACCTTATAAAATATATGTTTTGTATTTCTTTTACTCAGAAATATACAACACCATCAATCACCAAGGGGAAAAGATTAGGGTATCATCACATCTCGCTGAATCAAAAAAATCATAACATGAACTCTTAAGTGATTCATAAGTGAATTAGGTAAACTTACATATTTAAGTTTTAAATAAGGTAATTAATTTTGAGATGTCATTGCAGACCATTTACTGAACATTCTATCACTCCCCTTCATCTCAAAATGATGTTGTGACAGTACTTTTTGTATAGATCATTAGTGTGAAGAAATAACCTGCGTAGGTCAACTGAGTGTAGGACAAAAATGGTTATGTTGAACCCTTTTTTGGCATATTTTATCAATATAAACAAGACTAAAACGTAGCAAATAAAGAGGTCACAACAAATGCAATCATAAGATGATAACAGTTGCAACCTACCCCAATAGAAGACAACCTGTGGAACAAGAAACAAGATCCCCAGAAGAAGGCTGACTGAAATTGAATTTTGATAGTTGCATCCTAGGGAATTTTGGTGGCACTTTCAGAAGTCTTACAGGCACAATGATAATGCCACTGATCTGCAGTGGACCAGTGGGTGTACAAAATATGTTAAGGGCTGAACGTACTGAACTCTTGCAAGAGCTTAAAATTGCTGTAGTAAGGAGTTGGAAAGAGCTATATCAGTGGAGAGTGACAGTTGTGATAGGGTGGTTAACTTCAATAGGGAACAGGCCTTGGTCTTTCAGATTATCCTGAGGGAGACTTGCTCTAGCGAATAATCTGAACTGCCTGTTCAGATGGGTTCCTAGATCAGCAAATGAAATGGCAGATGTTCTGGCAGGTAGTGTAAATAGAGAAATTCTAGTTTTTGGAGAGAGTGATTTGACGAGAAATTGTAAAAAAAGTTATATCATCATTCTCTGTGTGCCAGCTTTAAGCTGCTTGTAATATACTTTCTTCAAATAATAAATTTGATGAACCAGGCCAGAAAATTATATATATATATATATATATATATATATATATATATATTGACTAAAGAACCAATGTTGCATAAAATCCTCCCACTCTGCATCAAATTCCACCTGGCTCACATTTTTAAACTCCTGTGCAAAGTCCAATAATATATAATCTATGAGCCGATATCCTTGTAAGTCCAATGAATTGGTTATGCCTTATTGTCAAATATCCTTCTGTTTTTTCGCCTTTCTCTATTCCCCATAAGGTGGCAAAAGGAGACATCCTCCATAAAAGAATAAGCCCTTAGTCTCAAAGGCTATAGATGCCAAGATCGTAGGATCATCAGCTCTTACAAGGGAAATTAAAAAACAATGCTGACACATTGAAGCTCTTTTCTGAGTGAGTCCCACCTCCAGATGAATTGAAGAAGAAATTCTCCAACCTGCACGATAGAATAGAAAAAAAAAAAGAAAAAAGAATCTCCACATCTAATTTGATTCCTTGCATTGCATAAATAAGTGGTGAACATCCTCCACTTATTTACAAAGGGCATTCTTCCCAAAAATCATCTTGGAGAAATTCTGGCTATGTACTCACGACCAAATGGGAATGGTGACTCAATTCAGGCTGAGACAATGGCACTCCTACAGGGACTGAAATTACCAGAACTACTAGGAGCTAGAGAATTGGAAGTAGAGGGGTATTCACTATTGGTCATTTCTTGGGATAAGCATGTAAATTCATCTCCATGGAAATACAGATTTGCTTTCAGAGAATTAAAAGGACAGCAAATGGATTGGAAGATAATCTGGCAAAGCAGGGGGTCGAAAGACCTACTCTTTTTTGGGCAAAATTGTAGCTGGCTGCATTACAACAGTGGAATGCTGTTCTATGTAATCTGGGTCTTTTGTATTCCTGTACTTGGAATGCAGAGTAGCTAAAAAATCTGTAACTTCTTTCTTTTATTAAATAAATAATCAATTTCTTGGCTGATCAGAAAAAAAAAAAAAACAAGGCATGCTTCCCAAGCTAATGTTTCTATGCTTCAACTAGTGTTGTATTAGAATCTTCCCAACTTCTAGTTTCCATTAGCCACATAAATATTTCCACCCTTGAAGATACCAAATTTCCCCAATTATTTGTCAATTCTAAGTGTATTATTCAACCTTTCTCCCAGTGATATTACTTTATAAGTAATTTACAGAACTTCATCCTGGAGGATCTTCAGTCCAGCCACTAGCTACAAATGTTTCTACCCTTGAAGGAACCAAAGTTACCCCCAATAATTGCCAATTCGAAGTGTATTGAGCCCCTCTCCCAAACTCATTGGTTAATTAACTCCAAATTAATGACACCTTATAATCTTTAGGATTGTTCTTTTTGCAAAATTATATTTTGCAGGAATACACTAGGAGATCTCTTAAATTTGGGAGCCTATACCCCACTCCATCCCTGAGTGGTTGCCCCTTGGCTCAGTAAAGGGGCAACCACTAAAATGGTTTCTGTCCAGTCCTGGTCTAATAACATTGATTTAGAGAATTTCTTGGTGAGTGTGTAATAGGTTCACCCTAGAATCTCTCTTTCTCTCTCTCTCTTTGAAAGACATTTGGAACATGAAAATATTAGAGCACTCCCTTGATGAACTTAAATGGGGGAAGGGGAAAAAGGGGAATTCTGGTGGCCACCAAAACTGAGAAGGTAAATATAGCTTCAAGGATATAAATTACCTCGATTATTTCATTAGTTCATAACTTCACATATTTTAAGTTACTTGAATTTTTTTCTTGGGATATTAATGCAAGCTGCAAGTATTGTATGAATTCTTTTCATAACAGAGGGCAGGAAGCAAAAACTATCATTAATTTGGTGACCATCAGGGTAGTGCATTGGGATTGGATTGTGATGAGGGAGGAGTTTGGATGAATCTCATTAAACTCTATTATTAGATGGCAGACAACTGTTGTCTTCTGAAGTAGTGAGATATTATTTGAGGGTCCACAATTTAATAATGGTTATGTCACTAAACTGAACAAAATGGCAGAACCAGATTTGTATATCCAACTTAATATGGTTTGGACAAGGCTTTGTTGAATTGAGTTCAGATTATTGCTATTTTACCCTTGATATACTACTTTTCAAGGAGGAGTGGTCCCTCCTCTTTAATGACTAATAAATCTCAACTTTTATGGTTGCTCATTGGGCAACCTAGGCCCGCCTGGAGAGTGGGAACCTAAAAGATCCAGTGATTGTAGTGTTTATCCAGTCCCATCAGTGAGAAGGGCTCCATCAAGAGAGAGATTATGTCTCTTCTAGTGGGACTGCAAATGGTATAGGAGGGATCTCATAAGTGGGCATAATAGTTTAAGCAGTCTTGTACTTAGTCAGATCATGGCATTTATACACTTCATCAGTGGAGGCAAGATTGCTAACATTCAGAATGAATGACTTGTTCAAATGGATAATTAGATTGGTAACTTTCCTTTCTAACAACCTTAGTAGTAATGGAATAAAGAGTTCATTGTATTGGGAAACCACCATCCAGGGTTAGATGCTCTATTGTGTATTTATTTTGTATCATCTAGATGAGAAAGTGACCCTTTATATCTGTTGTGCACCTTTATGGTTATTCTCTCTCATTTGCATCCTTTAGGAACTGGAAATTGTCCTTTCTTCTTATCTATAAAAATCTCATTTAATCTTGTCATTGATTAAAAATATCATTTATGTTGCTGATCAAAAACTATAAAAACATAACCATGATAAATGTAAATAAATACGTTTAATAAAATTTACTTTATTATTTAATTTTTATTTGACCATTTTATTAGTAAAGTTGTGATTGGTACATTGGATGCATGACAGTTAGAAAATAGAAACTGAGGAAATCATCATTATCTAAGCCTTCAAACTATATGGGGTTGGCTACATGAGTCTTGTTTCACCATTTCATTCTGTATAGTTACATATCCATTGTTAAATTATAGCACTTAAACCATTTCTTACTACTTAAACCCATGTCTTATTTGGTCTATCTGTAGCCCTTCTATCCCCTTCAACTTGCAACAAATTGCTTCTTACAAGTATTGTAGATTATCTTCTATTCATGTTATTAAACCATCTTAGTCTACTCTCTCACTTTATTACCTATTGGACCTATTCCTGGGTACCTTTGAATGACCTCAATTCCAACCCTATCCTTCTTAATTTTTCACGCATTCATATCCGCATGTGCATTTCTGCCATATTCATTTTTTGGACATATTTCTTGGGTGACAGACACTAAAGAAATGCTTCCTTGAATTAGCCTTGGCTCAATACAACTAGACCTTTTCCTCAACTATATGAGATCAACTACATGAATCTCGTTTTGTAATTCCACTCTGTTCAGTGCCAGGGCACTCAAATCATTTTGTACTACTTCAACCATGTCCTTTTTCTGTCTGACCCTAGCTCTTCTATACCCTTTAACTCACAAATCACTTCTCATTGCATCACTGAATAAATTTTGACTGTAAGTATGTCATCCGCACTTGCAAAATGTATTTTGTCATTGTATATGCATGGGTAATCCCATTAGGACTCTATAGTTAAATATTTTTGGTTAAAACTGTTAGCCTTCTAAGAAAAAAGGCCAAAAGCATGTAGAAAAAAGAGGTCTGCAAGTGAACTGCTAAGTTCTTTGGCATGGCATGCATCCATCTTTTTTACTATATTTTCGTGTTCTATGTTAATTGTTGCTGTTATATCCTGATATCAATTATTTCTCTCTATATTGATTTGGACTTAACACCTACTAAAGTCTTTGCACCATTTTAGATGCTTGCTAACCTTATTTTCTTCTATCCTTTGTGTCATTTACAAAGTCTTAGTTGTTTTGCAGACTAGAGGACGAACACATGAAGATGAAGAAATCGATAAAATGTTGAATGACCTCTCTTTGATTAAGAAATTTGAGTAGTAGCCAATATATTTTTGCCTCTTTACTAGTTCTATGATTTTATCTACTTTTCCAATCTTGATACATGTCTAAATATCCATACCTATTTAGGAGGCAGAGCTAATGCATTGCCATAGATGGAACTTTAATTTGTTCAATTGTGATTTAAAACTTAATGAAACCTCTAAACTAAAAGCAAGAAATTGATTAGAGGTCAATCCATAAATGCAAATTACATTTCGAGAGCCATGGAGAATTAGGCCCTATTTGGCAGTATTTTGTGCTTTGTACTTTAAACAACACCAAAGTACAAAGTGCATGGTATATTTTTGGTTTCATACTTTTATTTCAAAAATCGTTTGACTGAAAATTTTTCAAAAACATGTTTTTCAAAGTAAAAATAAATGATGGCATTTGGATATAACAAAATGTTTTAGAGGTGCGCATGCTATGTGATATCATATATAGATGCCACATGCCATTTGAATATAAGTCAATATATGGGGTGCCATGTGGGGAGAAGGAAGGTGTTAGGCATCCCTCTCCCATAATTGACATGTAGCACCATTTCCCCTAAAATCAAGTGAAAAAATAGCTAAAAAAAAGAAAAAGAAACAAACCAACAAGTGAGACCATGGTCTTTGTAACATGGTGTTTTGGTTAAAATCTTTACATCCTTAAAAGTATTTTGGGGTTTATTTCAAGGCAAGTTTAGTTCCAAGGCCGGTTCCACCAAGACCAGCTATGGATGGCTCATTGAGTTAGTTTGGGTAGGGTAAACTCCTAAACCCTAGAAACAACCTAGGTGGGAGTCGGTTCCATGAATTTGGAACTAGATCCTACCCTGTAATAGATTGGGTAGTGTCGGTTCAAGGCTAGTTTGAGATCAATTCAAGGCCAATTCGAGGTTAGTTCCAAGTAGAACTTACCCATTTACTCACCCCTAATGCATGGTGAACTCTAATTTTGTCTCTATCCTTTTGTATCCATCTTGAGCTGCAATGTGCTATATAGTTGGTGTGAGGGTAAGATCTCCTCTCTCTCTCTCTCTCTCTCTCTCGTATTTCAATATAATCTTTTATTTTCTTTTGCTCTATGGGGATGCTCAACGGGATAGCCTATCCCACCAAATCCAAAACCCCCTAACCCAAGTGCATGCGAGATTCAATCCTAAGTCTTTGTCAACACAAATATAGAGGCAAATTACAAAATAAATTTGCAATAAAGAAAAAAATACAATGGGATGAAACTCTCTTTGATTTCACCTAATGACATGAGCAACCTCTAGTTAACAGTCGAGTTTGGTGAAAACAAGGGTTGTTGGTGTGTTTTTGATGTTGATGTAGATTTTTTTAATTTGGTGCTTTTGAAGAATTGGTGTAGATTTCTTCACTCTGGGCTTTATGCTTGATTGGTTGTGAAAAATGCTTCTTTAAAAGGGTCTTTTTGCAGTAGCTTTATCTTTTTGGGAGAGCTTGGATTCAAGTATAAAATAGAGAACTAAGAAGCTTCTTTCATTCCTTCATTTTTTTTTTCTTTTGATGTTGTAGTAGAATTGAAGTTTGCAAGAGTATGTGATTACAAGTGGTGGTGTGAGATTGTGAGAACTCTCAATTGTGTTTGTGTGATTGTCAAAAGAGATCCCCTTTCTCCCTAGGTTGGGTTAATTATAGTCTAAGATTAGGGTTGCCACCTCAGCCCACTTTTTTAACAAATCCCGTGTAAGTGAGGTGTTGGATTAGGGTTAACTCCTATATATCTATACTACTATGAAAAGTATGAGTGGCTTAACATTGTTTTTGGAATTTTTGTTTAACATAAAATACCTTCCTCTTGTTGTTAACTACACACTAGAATAAGGATAAAAATGATTTTTCAAAATCTATTTAATACATTATGTTAAAAGACAAATACTGCCCTATGCATTAAATAAAGTTGCCAGAGTTGCCACCCATTAATGCAATTGAAATGAAATGCAACAAAAAATAACTTATATTAATTCCCTACTAAATGCATTAGAATACTATTCACATGCCTTTGTTATTAAAAACTTCAATGTTTTCCAAGAAAAAATATCATATTAATTTAATGAAGGATTCCTATGTGAAGTTAGTGGTGGTAAGGTTGTTTTTAGGAGCAATAACTATACCCCCACAAGAGATGGGTCAATGTAATAGATTCATGATGTCACAATGAAATAGTAATACTTTTAAAATAAATAGAGACTATAAATTTTTGGGCATATATCTAATATCATATAGTCATTGTAATAGATAAAACTTATAAATGAAGAAAATGGAATACAAAGTTTAACATCAACTAAAACCACTATTTTGTTGTAGAGGTGGGTAACTAGTTTGAGTATCCACTAGTCATTACATTATAACCTTTTATTTTACCATAAAATGAATACTAGCGGGGACCCGTGCGATGCATAAACTTTGTTAAGCGAAAGTTAAATAATAGAAAAACATAATAGTAGGCAATTGTTTTATAATTTAATTTTTAAATAATTAACTAAATATTTTATATTTTATATATTATTTTTAATAATTATTTTGCACTACAAAAATAACATTAATTAATTTCATCTAGGGATGTTCATAAAATTGATAAAAATAACCAAACTGATCACTCAACTTGCCTCAAGTTGGACACTTTCTAGTATTTATGGTTGGCTTTAGTTTGGCAATTTCTCAACCCGACCAAGTCAAGTTAGTCTCAATTTGGCCATTTGTAAACCAACCAAAATTAAACCAACCCGATTATAAATATAGATTAATATTTTATATTTCAAATATAATTTTTTAATACATGAAAGTGGAAAAATTCTCATATTTCTTAGTCTAAAATATTTTATATTGTAAACTTAAATTTTTAGATTTATTCTTTTAATAATATTATTGTATTTCTTAAATGTAATTTAATTTTTTATATTTAAATCTTTTGAACCAACCAACCAAACTAAAAACCTGCACAAACCAATATCATTGCCTGACCAGTTAAACCATTTAAACATTCACTTGAACTTGATCTTGGTCTAATTCTATTGAAACCCACCCTTCAATCAAAAACCATTGATTTGGTAAAAAGCCACCTGACTCAGAGGGTTCAACTATTGACCCATTCGACCCAATCACTGGGTTACAGGTTGTATACTTAATGCATGTGCAACTTTCAGAGGCCATAACTTTTGCATGCCGATGTTCAATTGAGGTGATTTGTTTTTTTTTTTTTTTTGATTTTGGGTAAGTTTTCAATATCTATGCATCCTAAGGTGTCGTGGGTGTCTTACCCCTCTATATTTTGCAAAAGAACCTTTTTTGTCCTCAAATTGGAACTTTTAACAATTTATATAAAGGCTTAGTTTGGAAGGAGTACAAATACAAATATGTAGAGTACAAAACTTTGTATTTTGTATTATTTTGTATGCATTTGCACTGTACATATTTGCATTTGTACTCCTTCCAAACCGAGGCAAACAAAAAAATTGAATTAAAAATGTAAATAAAATATAAAATAATACATATATTATATGTTAAACATAATTATACACTATTTATTGTTAAAATATGTATTTGCACACATAAATACATATATGCACATTTATATATTTGTATATAAAAATATATTTATTTAAATATATAGAGTAATGACATTGAAAGGTCTAACTTGTTCGACCAGGATGGTTGAACCGGTTTTCACTAATGGTTGGTTAGTTTTGAGTGACCAACTCCCCAACTCGATCATATCAGTTTAACTGGCCAAACAATCTGCAACTGAATTAAACCACCTAGTGAACACTCCTAATTTCAGCTAAATAGATAATCTAATCTCTAACAAATAACAATATTTTAATCTCCAATAATTATTAAAATTTATAGTGAAAATACAATAAACAATTAATAAAGCTTCAATACCTCAAAATTATTTAATCTACTTTCAATATTTCATTAATATTTATTTTTTTTCAATTATTTATATTTTATATTCTTATTATGGAATATTATTAAATCTATTATAATTAATATTGTGTCTTTGATAAATGTTGAAAGTTATTACATAATTTCATTATTTAATCCAATTTTGTTTTAAAATAGTGTTTAAAATATGATTTAGTATTAAATTTTTTATTTTAAAACATTTAAAAATAGTATAAGATATATTATAATTATTTTTCTGTTTTTGATAAATTTTTTTATGTTATTACATAATTTCTTTATTAAATCAATTTTATTTGTTTTTAAATAATATTTAAGATATGATTTATTTATTAATTTTGTAAAATATAAAATTCTTATTAATTCAAATATTATGAAAGTTTTAAGTTTAGTACATAATTTTTTATTTTAACTATTTAAAATTTTGTTATGTTAAATATTTTGTTATTTAAATAAAATGTAAAATTTTTAAAATTTTTCATTATTTAAATTTTATTTATTTTTATGTTATTACATAATATTAAACATTTTGTTATATAATATTAACCTATTTTTAGTATTTTGTTATTTATAATGTTTGGTTATTAAAATTTTTAAATAATAATTTTTTTAATTTTAAATTCTTATTATTTGAACAATAATTAAATTGAGTAATTCATAAAATTATAATTTATATTGTTAATACATAATTTCGTTATGAATTTCGTAAAATTATAAAATTATTAATAATATTAATATTGTTAAATATATTTTTTTTTGTGATTTTAAAGTTATTAAATAATTTCATTATAATAATTAAAGAATTCTTAATTTTTTTAATTCAAACTTTCTTTCGATAGATGTAAATCAAAAGTGGAGATAGGATAAATAGGAATTAGAGATAATTTTGGAGAGAAAATCTCTACTAAATTAGAGATAATTTAGGAGATAATTAGAAATGAGAGAGATTTTAGGAATAGTTTTGGGATTGGATATCCAAAGGGATAAGCAAAGGGAAAGAGGGATGAGCTTGGCATATTGAAATGTCAAAATGTGAGAGGGAGAAGGGAATGAGAGTTCTCAGTTAGGGTAAGGGAGAAA